ATGGGGAGATGACAATGTAATTTCTAAGCATTAGTCCCGCCTGCTTTAAAGGTCACACTCCTCTTACCTGGTCCCATGAATACCTGCATCTGTTCAAACTGAACTCTGAGATGGGACCTGGGTATGTGCTTGCCTAAGACATTCTGCATAGGATTTATTTTCTGTCTGCCTCCTTCTTCCCTCTCTTCCTTTTTTTCTTCCTGAGATAAGGTTTCTCTGCCCGACTCTGGCTTTCCTGGACCTCAAGCTGGCCACTAACTCGGAAAGAGATCTGCCTGCTTCTGCCTCCCAAAGTGCTGGTATTAAAGGTTGGTGCCACCACGACTGGTTTGTATACGCTTTTCTAAGTTTTGAAATCTCTTGCTCTAAATATTTCCCAGTCCTACAATTCTGGTTTTGTAATTTTGCATTAAAGTATGCTTTACATTTACAAACTGTTTCTAATTATGTGGATCCCAACTGTTTCCTATGATTTTCTAATACCCAAGCAACATAATTATGCTGTATAATTTCACAAGTGAAATTTAGAAGGAGTATTGGTTACACATAGACTGAGGAAAAGACAGATATGGATACCCAATTTTAAAACATTCTGGTAATCCAAATATGTTGTTCAGTCTAGCCTTTCCCCCTCATAAGAGCTCCCAAGAAGACATGAAACAACAAAATCAACAGGCCTAAGTTCATTTGTTTCCTCTCTCTCTGTCTACTCTATACTGATGTAACATTATAAAGCTCTGAAAAAGATCCAGCTCCCTCATAGCTTGATCAATGAGCCCTTGAATACCAGGGGAATGTACATCTATTGCCAGGAATATGGGATGAATCCTGGAATAGCTTTATCCACACTGCAGCTGTAGATGCATTCTCTCTCTGTGCCAGTAGGTGGAGGCACACAAAAGTAAGTGGCTTTGCTCTTTGAGCCAGAGGACCCCAATTCTTAATAGTAACCTGTTTCTGGTTTGTTGGTTTGAATCCAAGGAATCAAAAGGTAAAAAAACTGGGCAAAAATATCTGTGAAGATATGTCTATAAAATAATAATAGAGAAGAAAAGTTTTATATTTCTATTTTGGTTCTGGGCTTTTAAAGAAATCACTGTTATTTTAGCTGTGAATTTATCATCTATTTTCAGATCCTTAGAGCTCATAAAAAGTTCTAAATTTAGATGACTGTCATTTTAGATTCATGTTCAATTAGGAAAAACTGAATGTCAAGTGAATATAATATGATATTAAGGAATTATTGGTGGTTTTGTTAGGCATGATAATAGTGTTATCATTTAAAACAGGAGTGTTTCTAGGTGAAATGACACCACTTTAGCAATCTCCAAGGGAAGATGACAACAGGAAAGGATAGTTTGAACAGGGAATGACAAATGTTTTGATAACTGTTGGAGTTCAGTGCTGGCTTTCTGATTATATTAGTTTCCCTTTTCATTTGGAATTTTCCAAAATAAAAGGTGAAGAAAAAAAAAACCCAGCTATGTTTTATTGATTGAGGCTAACATTAGGCCTAAATGTTCACTGGTAACTGTTTATCTTTAATGGGATGTCATCTTTTAGTCACAGCCATTGGGTTATTTTAATCTCAATACTATCACATAAAATCCACCACAAAGATCTCATGAAGGCAGCCTCAACACTAAGAAGTTCAAATCCCGGACTTTATGACAACAAAGAATATTCCCTCTACTACACTGTTATTTTAGGATGCTTTGATACAAGCAGCATGAGGGTCGAAATTTAGGTACATTCTAACATGTTGCTTTCTGTGCTTGTTACTCTACGGTGTATGATTATACCTTTTTGTTCTCTCAGAATAAAAATTTGGACACAAACAGAGTTCTTTAGGGAAAAATAAACTTAAACCAGGAAAGTATTTTTAAAACAATTATAGTCTTAAAATTGAGTGGGATTTCAGAGACCCTTGCTAGTCTCAAAGTAAAATCCTACCTTTAGCCCTTTCATATGCATAGAGCTCCTCTTGAGTGTGAGGAGGTAAATGTGTGCCCTGTATGACAATGGCTTCATTCCTGGACTAAATCTTATCATTACAGGACCTTCCTTAATAGTTAAGGGTGAAATTTGTCACTTGTTGATTCTAGTGGTGGCCTGGAGTGCCACAGTGAGCAAGCATATATTCTTGTCACAGTCTTTCAGATAACTAAAGATACTGATCATGTTCTCCCTATGTTAGGGCTCTTAGAATAAGAAAACCAATACATTCCTGGATGGTCATGACTCCAACGTCTTTAAGAGCTCTTCCATGCCATGGTTCTTCATTTGGGATTCAACTATATCTAGAAATCTCAAAATCTTTTCAAGGACTATGTGAACCAGAACTTTTTTTTTTAATTACCTATTATTATTGTGAGCACCACAATGTGCATATGGAAGTCAGAGGACAACTTTCAGGAGATGGTTCTCACCTTCCACTTTGTGGAGGGAGGTAGGGTTTCCCTTATTTCTGCTGTGCTGTGTACTCCAGGCTAGCCTGACTGAAAGCTTCCAGTCTATTCTGTTTTAGGAATTTAACTCAGGTCATCAGGACCACGCAGAATAATAAGAGCTTTTACCAGTTGAAGGCATCTTGCTGGGCTCCAGAACTAGGTTGTATGAAAGCAATCAATTTCCATTTCCTCTTTTACTATAACCTAGTCTGCCTGAAAACAACTTCTATGATCCATTAGTTTTTCTTTTTTTTTTTCCATCTCTCTGGATCTACAATTAGCCATCTCAAAAGACCAGCTGCTCCCCTACTCCAAAAAGCCTGTCTACTCTCAAAGACAGTTGGGGAGTGCAAAGCTTCCACTGAGGAAGATAGCCCAGAAGCAAAGCCAGGACCTGAGGAAGGAGAGGAGGTACCACCTTATATCTAGACAGTGTGTTCATAAAGATCAATAGGCAGATGAATGTTATCTGGCTGTTTATTAACACTTTATTTAAAAAACAAAGAAGTTAGACATTTTTCTTTGACAGAAGACAAATCTGACTGGGTTCTGTGATTTGACAGAGGATCTATTTTGCCATATAGTAGACACTTCCTTAAGTGTAGCTATACTGTTATGAAGGAAATCAATTTAAGAAAAAAAAAACATTCAGGTGCTGAAAGTAATATTCTGACAATAAAAGATTTTAAGTTTTAAATTTTATTTTCTATGTATGGGTGTTTTGCTTGCAAGTATGTCTGCATACCACATACATCTCGGGTGTTTGCAGAGTCCAGAAGAAGGCAATGGATCTCCTTCAACTGGAGGGTCATATGATTGTAAGCGGCCATGTGGGTGCTGGGGATCTAACCCAGGTCCTCTCCAAGAGCAGCCAGTGCTCTTAACCTCTGAGCCATCTCTCTATCTCCATAACACAAGTTTTTAATATATCAACTTATGGCAGACCCAGCTCAAAGTTCTAACATGTTTGCCAGCCAATCTTTTGAAGACTGCGACTCTACAATGGAATTTGCAGGCTTTTCTGTTCTGGTTATTATCTTCTATCTATAAACTGTGGTGTCCTGCTCACTATGAACACTACTGGATCAAAGAGCAGAGTGTAAGAGTCAGAGTGTGGCTTTGCTTTGAATTCTATATACTTTCTAATTAATGTGGCCTAAGATTCCATTTAAGATTTCTAAGCTATTGCAAACAGCTAATCAAAACATTTACATCTTTCCCAAATAAACAGTCATAATTAAATGCACACTGATTTTGCACTTACGCAGCTGAACTTGTCTTCAATTTTAGTTTATTTGTTTCAGTTCTTTTAAATTCAAATTTCTATATAGATAGGCAATGTATTAGTTAGCCTAGTAGGGGTAGTCAAGTAGGGGACAACATTAAAAATGCCTCCCAGGGACTCCCATTTCTTGCTATGTATGTCCTGGTTTGTGAGCTTGATCTAAAGCTAATTTTTAGCTTATAAAATATGGCAGAAGAGATGATATGCAACTTTGAGAATTAGGTTGTAAGACTGATCTCTACCTTTGTTGCTTGCTATGTCAATAAAGCTAGCAGCCATGCTATTCTATGAAGAGGTCCATGTGACAAGGGGCCAAGGAATGCCTCAGGCTAATTGCTCTGAACTGAGGTTCTCAGTACATGATTGCTAGCAGCCATGTGAATGAACTTGGAAGCAGATCCACCATCAATACAGTTCTGGCCCTTGCCAATACCCTGTTTACCATCTTGTGAGAGATCAACAGCCATAGGATTTGGCTAAGCTGAACTTCACTGCTGATGCACAGAGTGAGGCAATACATGGTTATTGCTTAAAAGCCACTACATTTTGAAGCAATATGTTGTGGAGAAATAGAAAATGAATGCATGATCTGATTTTGGTGTCTTTAATATTAAAGGTAGTATAGTCTTCTTTTTCTATTTTCCTAATCAAAGTCATGGATTAATTTTGAATAAAATAAGATTAAAGACAAAATATTGTATAATGTTACCCCATAAAGCTTTATATAATCTCTTTGGACATTTATCTAGGCATCTACAGACTATCTAGTTGTACTTCCATCTTAAACAAAATTATGTGAAGAAAAATGAAGTAGTATATTGAAGTCAAGATAATGTTAGTTGTGAAATTTCCTTTTATGGCAATATGATTACATAAAAAGAGAAAGTTAAATGTGTTTTTACACATTTTGAGTTGGCAGAGAGACTTCCTACATAGAATCTCCACTCTCACTTCCCTCTTCTTTACTAAGTTACAAACTAAGTATTTTGGGGACATCTTATCCCTTTAAACTCTAGTTTGTTTTGGAGTCTCTTCTCTGAAGTGTGCTGAAAATGTAAGGGTACTTGATATGTCCAGCTTTTGTTTCCTTTGCCACTTGTAATCTTAAATAAGAAAATCCTTTTTTTTCTTTTACCTGTGACTTCAAGTCTCTCTTGAAACAGATGGAGCCCACAATTGTTGCTAAACTTGAAGAAAAAGGTGTTAAGATTTTCTGCAACCAACATCACTTAAAACTTTACTCAAGAAATAAAATGTGCACTCACAATTCAAAAACCATGTAAAGCATTCCATCTGAGCTATATGTCTCCAATAACTCTACAATGTGTGGATGCTTCAGCATATGACAGATACTGGCTTCACGCTTTAGATCTGCAAAATAAACATACAACATACTTCATTAGGTAAGAGCAAAAGACAATTAGAGTGGAGGATGAATGAATAGATGGATGTGATCTATGGTAACATGAAACTTCTCTGTCTAAAGAGATGAAATCCCCATTTTAAACTGAGCTTATCTTCTCACCCTTTCAGTTCTGAGGCAATACAACTTTTCATACTTTTGTCAGCTTCCATCTAGATATGGGAGGAAGCACTTACTAACACACATTTACCTTGTCCCAAAGTAAAATAAATACATGTATATTCCCAAAAACTCTTAACAGTCACATTTCAGCATCCAGACTGATAACTTTTCCTTGATTTGCTGATAAGTAACTCAATTTACTGTTTTGAATTTTACCTTTATCTTAGTTTTCCTTGAGCCAGATAAGAATAAAATGTAGCATTTATAGACATTTCACAGAAATTATATGAAATACGAAAAGAAGTAATAGTATGGTTTGCACAGAAAAGGCACTATTCCCAGAGCCAAAGTTAAAATGACGTAATTAGTTCTTGCAGTGATGGGAGGGAATTCAGGACCTTGTCTATTATAAGTCGGTGCTGCACTGCTGGATTCCAGCCCTAGCCTGGGAATTTTGAAAAATATCATCTATAAAAGATGTTGAATAAGTCAGGATTTCAAAGTACTTTGCAATGTCTTTCTGAAGAACACACAGATAAGGCAAGTAGTATTGCCCTGAATAAGATGATAGTACTGTTTGTAGCTGAACATGGTGGCATATACCTGAAATCCTAGCACTTGAGAGGTAGAGGGAGAAGGATAAAGAGTTCAGAGCCATCCACTTGTAGATGGTAAGTTTAAGGTCAACCTGGGCTACATGAGACATGTCTCACAACAACAACAACAACAACAGCAACAACCACCAAGTCTTAATTGGAAAACAAAATTAATATCAACATCCTTGCACTAAGTTTAGTTGGGGGCATCATTTGTTATGTGTACACAGAATAATATAGTTAAAGCCTTCCACTAATAGTGCTATACCTGTTTGTTGATGCAATGTGGTGTTTTTATATTTGAAAGCAGAAGGGAGCCAAGAAAGGAAGAACCAAGCACAGACTGTACAATTCAGTAGATAACATGATCTCTTTTCTGGTTTATTAATTCAACTTAGTCTTGTCAACATGAGCAACGGTTGCAGACAGAACCTTACAAAATCTACTCACATACAGGCAAAGTAAATAAAAGAAGGCCATACAAAATAGACACTATCAGAAAAGGAGACATCAATAATACAATGTCAAAAAAGTCAAGGGCATAGAGAAAATAAAGGTGTGTGTGTGTGTGTGTGTGTGTGTGTGTGTGTGTGTGTGTGTGTG